GGGGTGTGCAAGAGGCAGCTGATCGATGACTCCTCTCTCATCGATGTTTCCAACTTTCTATCTCTCTCCTTTCCTCTCTGTACAAAATCAATAAAATATATTAAAAAATAAAAATAAAAGGGAAAAAAAAGTTATGCATGGTAATCAGATTTTCATGAGTGCTAACAATGCTTATTTAATCCCTAATAGCATTAAAATAATATTCAAAGAGCATAAGACAATGAAAATGGAGTTCCATGAAAAATACTCTTTCTCTGACCTTGTAGGCTAAATAGATTTCTGTGGGCTAAGGGAATAACTCCATTCATAATAGTGTTCTATGACACTGCTTTTAGAAGCCTATGCTTTCAAACTTTTCAACATTTGTGGGATTCAAATCATCTTACAGCTGAAAATAAAATGAGAATGTTGGTCCCAGACCTGTCTGCACTCACTGATCCATTTCCTGCCCTTCACTTCTCTGATCTGTTGGAAAGGACTTGAATCCTGCAGGCTCTGGTGTCAGTTGGCTCCGGTTGAGTCTGACCAATGAGATGCAATGGTGAAGACTAAGAGGGTAAAGGGAGGGAGAGCAGATTGCTTCCCCCTTTTCTGTCTGTCATGAGCAGCAGCTCTAGCAGCAGCAGTGTCTCTGTGGCTCCGCCTCCCTGTGGACAAAACCCAGTTAACTGGGGTGGTTTTGAAACATGAATTCTTCCTTTTAGCCCTCCAGCCCTAGGAGTGCTAGTGGCTTCTTGCTGTTCTCAACCTCTGGACTGCTTCACAACCTTGTTTGGCTTTCTCTACAACTCCATCACCATAAAGCCAATTCTCTGCATTACATTTGTTTTATATAACTTAAATTATGTCTGTTTTCCTGATTAGTCTTTGACACTCACAGAAAAATGGAAGAGGAAAGAAAAATAAAGAGAGAATATATTCTGAGAAAGAACACAGAGGCAAGAAAGCAAAGTACCTTGCGGTTCATCCATGCACCAACTGTGTGACCTTGGGCAAATTATTTCACTGTTTTAAGCTTCAATTGACTCATTTATAAGTGGGGGATTATAACAGAATCTATACCTCACAGAACTATCACACAGACTAAATGAATTCTCACATTTAAAGCATTAGCCTAACACCTGGCACAAAACAATTTAGCTACTCTCACTGTCCTTGCCGCCATCATCTCCTCTTCTGTACTGTACTCCCAGAATAGTGCCCACATTCTTTAATGGTCTTGCCTGCTTCTGCTTCTCTACCTGTACCCTTCTTAAATACTGCTCTAGGCTTAACCTTCCCAAAGCCCTTCCCTAATCACACAGCTCCTACAAAACTCCAACTGCATACTGACATGATCCAGTCCTTAACCTGCCATTCAGGGCTATCAAGAGTCTATCCCAACTTATTTTCCTTACTTTTTTTTATTGATCTGATCTATATTTTGAAAAAACATTTTTTCTTTTTTTTTGGCTTCTCATACTTTTTAAGTCCCTAGAGGACAAAGGCCACATTTTATTCATCTTTTGTCTACTACAGCACTTAGCCTCAGTACCCAATCTAATAAAGTGAGACATGTTAAGTGAACAAATAAATGATAACACCTAATAAAGTTTGTCTTCAATTGCATGCTTAAATTTGATCCAATTTGCCTTCTAGAGCAGGGGTTGGCAAACTTATGACCCACAGGCCAAATCGGGCCCCCATTTTTGTAAATAAAGCTTATTGGAGCACAGCCACATTTATGTACTGTCATTGCTTCTTACACTCTATACTGGCAGAGTTCAGTAGTGTGACAGAGGCCATTTGGCCTACAAAGCCTAAAATTCTTACTTTTTAGCCCTTGACAAAATAAGTTTGCTGACCTCTGTCCTTGAGAGTAGAAATTCTGGTTTATTCATATGCTCTACACACACACACTTAGTATATTGCTCCCATTTATTTGGTGTTAAAAAAAAAATCTATTACACTAAATTGAAATTACAAACTTTAAAAATAAAGTAGAGAATGCCTGTGTTATTGAAGGCAGTAAGCAATAAAATAACCAAACTACATACAACATTAGATACTTATATTTAGGCCTCTCTTTATGTCAAATAATAGAATCTCATTTACCTTATTCTTTTTTATTCCTTAAGGCCATCAGTTCTTCACTCTAGAAAATGTTTCTCTAATTCTCTATTTTTCTCCTATCCAGCTGTTTCATTCATTTGTTAATTTAATCATTCAACAAAAATGTTATTGAGTGACAACCATGTGCCTGGTTTAAGTTAGGAGCTGAGAATGAGGATCCTTAAAACTTGGTCCCTGCCTTTAAAAAATATATAATTTTAGTTAAAACACCTATTTCAAACAGGAAAATACTAAGTACTATTGAAATAATGCCAGCAAATCAACAAGTAGACCAAGGCAGATATCTGTGTCACTACTCTCAAATATCTACCATGAATCAGGAATTTCGGAAAACTGGTAAAACAGTGTACTCCATCATAGTTGCTCATAGTTGCTACTGCTGCGGAGGGGAAACCAACATTGTTTACAAATTCCCTAAGGTATTTTATTCTTTAAACAGCATAAGCAGTAAATAACTTTCTAGATAAATATAAATTGCCCGAAAGTGTTATAAAATGCTAAAACTTCTATCTTGAGACTGCAACATTTAAGTTCAAGATAGACAACAGTTATACCAGAGGGAAATTAACAAGGAAAAGAATTATTCTTCTGCCTAAAAAAAGGAAGTATTAATTGTGATGAAAAGGAAAGATGGAGACTATTCACTCACTCAACAAACATTCATTTATGACATTTATGACAATGCCATATAAATATACAAAAGTAATTTTGTATACACCAGGCCTTGTGCTAATTTCTAGAAAGAAAGAGAGAGAGTACGCAGTGAGAAAGACAGACACAGATTACTGTTCTCCCTAAGAGGCTAACATAAAGAAAATATGCATCAATATAGAAAATATACATCAATATGCTAGAACCAAACATCCAACTTTTTTGTTACTAATTGTAGTAAACCTAATAGCTGTTTATTTAATAAACAATTAAGTAACTACAATGCCAATATCAGCAGATAAAAAGTCCTTGCCTTAAAGACTTTATAGGTTCTTATGCAAATATAATTTTGATACTATAATTAAAGAATTGTATGACTTTATAAGGAAATATGTTGTGGATACAATAATTTAATTCTACTAGGAAAAGGGAACTAGAGTAAGGGAAAACTTTGCAAATAAAAATATGAATATACAATTCTACATAATAAAAGAGCAATATGCAAATTAACCATCACTCCACTATATCCACCAGCCAATCAGAATGAGTATGCAAATTAACCCCAACCAAGATGGCTATGGCCCCAGAGAGCAGGACAGAGGCTTGGGTTTCCCAGGCAATGGAAGAAGCCAAGATTTCCGCCTGCCCTAGCTGGCCTAAGCCTCCACTAAAGGCTAAAACATTTCAATTATAGAAGTTAAACAAATCCAAACAGAAATGGCGGCAGCCATGGAGCAAGCAGAGGCTTAGCTCCCCTCCAGGCTACAAAGTGTCAATTATAGAGAGTAAATAAATTCCAGATACCAGGGCCTCTGCTTGGGTCGCCAGGAGGCATAGCTGGCCTGCAAACCACCACAGGCCCCTACCTCAGGCCGCCTTATGCCTTAAGGGAACCCCCACCCTGATTCAGGACACCCTTCAGGGAGAAACATCCGGCCCCCACCTGAGCACCAGGCCTTTATCCTATCTAATAAGAGCAATATGAAGATTGACCATCACTCCAACACACAAGCTGGCTGCCCTCATGTGGTCAAACATCCTGCCCCCATGTGGACCCAAGATGACCACCACAAGATGGCCAGCAGGGGAGGGCAGTTGGGAGGCACCAGGCCTGCAAGGGAGGGCAGTTGGAGGCAATCAACCCTGAAGGGGAGGGCAGTTAGGGGTGACCAGGCTGGCAGAGGAGGGAAGTTGGGGGCAAACAGGCTGACAGGGGAGCAGTTAGACATCAATCAGGCTGGCATGGGAGTGGTTAGGGGGTGATCAGGCTGGCAGGTAGAAGCGGTTAGGGGCAATCAGGAAGGCAGGCAGGTAAGCAGTTGGGAGCCAGCAGTCCTGGATTATGAGAGGGATGTCCAACTGCCTGTTTAGGGCAGTCAGACATCCTTCAAGGGGTCCCAGATTGGAGAGAGTGCAGGCTGGGCCATTAAGCCACATGGGAGCGCCTGCAGCGTGGGTAGCCCACATGGAGGTGTCCTGTTAGTTAGTGTCAAACACCCACTGGGTTTTAGACCGCATGTTTCTGTATCTATAATGTCAGTTGACTACACGATATGTTGACTACACGATAAAATAGTGTTGTGGCTATTCTGCATTCAATAAAAGACACTGTTAAAACTAAATTCACCCGTTTATTTTTCCTTTTTTAATGGGGCTACCGAAAACCTAACACTCCAAGAGAGTGGCAGCATGCTGCTCTTGCAGGATATTCCTTTCCAGGTTCCACTTATCGGCGGGATAAACCACCTGCTGTGTCCGGCCAAATAAACCACCTGCTGTGTGCTCTGGCCTGCAAATGTGTAGCTCCCGCTACCAGCGCCTGAGACACTTTGGTCTTCCCCGCCCCCAGTGACCTGCTCGCCATCCCATCCCGAGTCTGCCTTCCTGGCCCCCCTCCCCCCAGCGGATCTGAGGGATGCAGGGACCCTCCTGCCGCCCTCGCAATGCCGGGTCTCCAACGGCCCGTTCGGGTCCGCGTCCCCGGGAGACTGGAAGCTCCTTGCGGGACAGACAAGCTCTGAACACGCCTAGTTTCGGCGCCAGGAACCGCGGGCCGCCGATGAGCGGTGGGCGGAGATGGAGAATGAAACCAGGGGCAGGGTTGGGAGGGGGAGGGGGGAAGGAGGGAGGTTGGCAGAGGTGAGGCGGGGACTAGGGAGGAGGGTCAGGGGGGGACCGCAGGGCTGCCGGCGGGCCGCCCGAAGCCGGAGAGAGGCGGGAGCACAGGCGGGACTCACCAGGCCCTGGTCGATGTCGGCGTCAGGCCGTTTGGTGGAGGGCGGCGAGTACTCGGCGTGGCGGATGCCCTCGCTGGCGGGGGCGACGCCGCCGAAAGCTGCCATGGCGATGTACCGGGGAAGACGAGACGCCGGCGCCGCTGCCTACGGGGCGCCGCAGGGTCAAACTAGTGAGCGCGCTGCTACGGGGGTTAAGGCGAGACCGGGCCTCTGCTCACGTGGAGGAGGGTGAGTCACCCGGAGATCTGGTTCTCACCCAGGCGCTGGCCAAGAGTCAGACTCAGAGCTGAGTCCCCTGGGACATGAAGGACGTTTTGTATGTTTCAAATTCCCAGGTCCAAAGCCAACACTAGGCCTCCCCAAGCAGCGCCAAGGGCCTGGGTTTAATCATTAGAGCTGATGTTGGTCTCATCACACTGCAGTGCCTGCAGGTTCCTGACCCACACCAGACCCTTCTTCCTACCCCCCACTACTGATCATACTTCTCTTTAATGCCACAATTCCCCCATGCCTGAAAGCAAAATTAGAGGCAATTTGCTTACCCCATGTGAATGACTATTTTTAAAATGAGATTGCAAAGAAATATTACTCCCCACAAATGGTTTTGTGCTGACTTGGATATAGGAAGACCAACCTTATTATTAATTTTTAAGTCAAGCCTTTTTGAGCAAAAAATTAACCAACAAATGAAGCCTGTATACTGTTTTCTAACTCCTGTACCAATTTGGCAGAATTTTTGTCCTTCATACTCATTGCAAAAGCAGCTTACCTACAAGAGAAATATTTCTTTTTTCTATTCCTGAATTTAAAGTTTGAGGGTCTGTTAACTTATTCATTTAATTACTTTTATTAGCAAGCTTAATAAGTTAGGGCCTTTAAGAATTTACAGTCTCAGAGGGAAAATAACACTGACACAGAGTGATAGTAATACATGCCAGAACATGAGCACAAGCATTGTACAGAGTATAAAGAGTACTGCATTAGGAGAATGGTAGAGTTCTGAGTCTAGTGTATTTTTTTTTTCTAGGCTTGTTCCTTGAGCATTCCCATTAACCTCTTCAAATTTCTCCTTATCTGTGGTAAGAGAGTAACATTTGTTCAATATTTTGACAAAAGGAAATTATAAGGATAAAATTATATGGAAGTAATTTATCCTGCTGTGCAATGTACTTATGCAGAGTGTCACTACTACAGTGCTATTGGCTTTTATGGGAGGAAAGGGACTCTTTTAACCAGGGTCATCTGGAAAGCTTTGCTGGTGGCTTAGCCATTGAGATAATCAGTAAAGAAGGGGTAACATGGCTCAGTGGTTGTGGGTGGGCCTATGAACAAGAGGTCACTGTTCGATTCCCAGTCAGGGCACAGGCCTGGGTTGGAGGCTTGATCCCAGTAGGGGATGTGCAGGAGGCAGCCAATCAATGTTTCTGCCTCTCTCTACTCCATTTGTCTCTCTGGGATCAATAAAATAATAATAATAATAATAATAATAACAACAACAACAACAATAACAATGCCATACAGATACCCACTACTGAAGGAGAAGAGGAAGAAGGAGGAGAAAGAGGAGGAGGAGGAGGAGGAGGAGGAGGAGGAGGAGGAGGAGGAGGTTTTTAGATGGAAATTATAGCTGAAAACAAATGAAAAGAAATTTAGAAGGTGGTATGTAGGATGGTGAAAAACATTTATTAAGACTCTTCAGAGGGAAGGGATTGGTATGTGCAAATTGCCAGTATAAACAGTCACAGGGATATAGACTATAGCATAGGGAATGTAGTCAATAATATTGTAAAAACTATATATGGTGTCAGATGAGTACTAGACTTGTCAGGGTGATCACTTCATAAGTGATATAAATGTTGTATACCTGTACATGTTGTATCATTTATTATCCATTCATTCATTTATTCAATAAATATTTATTGAGCACCTGTTAAGTACCAGGCACTATTCTCGGTATAGGGTCAAGTACCCAAACAACATCTCTCATTTTTTTATGAGAGGAGTTAGTAACAGGGATAGGCAAACAGGGTAATGAGTAAAAGAAAGGAAGAAATATAGATGTGACCATTGGAGCCAACTAAAACCACAGGAATGCTGGTCTTGCAAAAAGAAAGAATGCAACAAGAATGTTTATCTTGCAGGTGCACAAAGCTATAAGAAGTAGGGATGGAAGAAGAAAAAAGTGTGGACATAACTGCATGGTCAAGCAGGACCCAGATCCAAACCACAAGAATATATATCTTGCAGGTACAGGAAGTTTCAAGAAAAAGGGCAAGAGGAGAAGGAAAAGAGCCCCTCCTTTTTTCCTCCTTGAAAAGAGGAGGTGGGTTTTGAAATGACTGCTAAGTAAGAAAGGTAGAAGAAGCCAATCGAAGAGATACAGGGTAGACAGAGGGCTCGGGGATAAAACCCCTCGTCAAGTGAACTTCAATGGCAACCCTTTCTTAGGCCCTCTCCGCATGTGGGGAGTTTGTATCCACTTATAATAAATGTCCACGGTTTTGCTTATATCTTCTGGTCCATGATTTTATTCTTTAACAATCCCGGGAAGAACGTTGGCTTGCCATTTAGGTATCATTTGGAGTTCGCGGTCTATGGATTGGTTACAGCATACCCTAGCAGCTTGGCCCTCACTGCCAGCCTGGAACGACTGGAACAAGACCCTCTTAGAGCAGCTGATGCCCAGGCTCAAGAACTGAATCTTTTGGAGCAGAAGTCAGGAAAAGGAGAGAAAGGAGAACTGGGCCAGGAACAGGATAGCAAGTTGGAGGGGAGATGGACTTAGCAGGGTTGCCCCTCAGCTTAGATCCAGACTTATTGAGAGCAGTTTGCTGGCTGTTTATAGACTTAACCCCTGTTCCATTTCCACTTAGGGCATCTACTCCTGTACCAATAGTCAGTTTTAAAGAAAAATCATCCACAACGACTATTCTTAACCTTTGGTTCTTTGCTAAGTTTACCCTCATCTGGTAAGAAAGAAAGAAATCTGGAAAGAAAGGATAAAAATGAGCAAGTAAGTCATCTGTCTCCCCACAAGATCTCTTCCCAACTTAGCTAAACTCACTTCCTGGGCTTCCCTAGGAAAGAAGAGCAATGCTTTTTGAGAAACCCAAAAGGGAGGAGGCCACATTAAATTTTCACTGATCTATTTATTAGTTATACCACTTCAAAGACAGATTACATTATTTTGATAGAGTTTTGAAAAGAAAAGCAACATCCTGAAATATCTCAGTAAAAAAAAAAAAAGTCAATATATATATATATATATATATATATATATATATATATATACACATATCTCCACATCTATATGCCTCAATTTCATTATTAGTAAAGTTGGAGAAAATCACAACATCTCCATTTGAGAATTAAGTGAGTTTTCTTTTGTAGAGCTGTTAGAATTCTGTTGGATACCTAGTAAGTTCTACAAAAATATTAGTTAATATTTTCTTTAAATTACCCCTTTCACCTATTTGTTTCCAATGTATATTTTCTTCTTGCTATTCCCCAAACAGTTATTTGTTTGTCTTATCTTTGAAGTGATACCATTCAATTAAACATTACATAGTGATCTATGCTAATAAAAGAGTAAAATGCAAATTGACTGTACCTCATGACACCCCATCAGCCAATCAGGAATGAGTATGCAAATTAACCAACAATGATGGAAGGTTAATTTGCATACGCAGGTGCTGAGTGGCGGGGGCAGGGTGGGAAAGTTGCATCATTGCCATTTTGACAATGCAGGCGTTCTACACTACCCCAGCTGCTCCAGGCCTTTGGGAAGTGTGGAAAGGCAGAAAGGTGCTTCAGGTCAGAGCCAAAAGGCGGCTCTGGCTAGAGCAAAGGTGGTGCCGGCAGCCAGTGGAAGGAAGGCCCATTCTTGCACGAATCTTCATGCATCAGGCCTCTAGTCTATATATATAAAACCCTAATATGGAAATAGACCAAATAACCAGTCACTATGAAGTGTGATGACCACCAGGAGCATGAGCAGAACATGGCGGGAGTTGACAGCAGGCAGCAGAGGAGGGAATATGGTGGGTGCTGGCCACCAGGGGATGGTGGAGCAGGTGAGAGGGGATGCTGGACCAAGGCAGGGCGCTGGTCACTGTCATCAAGATGAGCTTCTGGTGACTACTGAAAATTCTTTGCTCCCTCACATACCATAGTCCCTCCCTGCGCTTTCACCTGCAGCTGGTGCCAGCCCCACTCATACCTGCTGCTGGTGCCGGCGCTGGCCCTGATAGTTCGGCGCCATCAGTGGGTGTGAACAGCAACTGCAGGCCCTGATCACCCATGAGGGCTTCTCCACCTTCCCCTGCTCCTGTGTGGCAATCGGGGCAGAAGCCCCTGTTCACACCCACTGAGAGCGCCAGCCCAAATCACTCCAAGCCAGCAGCAGGTGCAAGTGGGGCCGATGCTGTCAGCAGGTGGGAGCAGCAGCAGTGGAAGCGGGGCTGCCGGTAGACAGCAGACCAGCGGCTGAGGCGGAAGGGGCCAGTTGGGGGCACAGAGGATGCGCCAAGACCCACCCCTGTGTCCACTGCAGTCTCATAGCCCACTGTTCCTTTCAAGGTGCACAAATTCTTACAGTGAGCCCTAGTAAAATATAAATGTGGGGGAGAGTTGTTTTTATGAAAATGAAATTAAATGGTTTGAAATGACTTGATAAAAGCAAAAAAAAATTTTTTTTTAAGCTGTCAAATGGTGGACATGAGAAAAGAATCATAAAAACTGAGTGTGATTCTATACTGTTTACTTTTAAAATGTCTTTTTCCCCCTTTATTTTAAACAAACATTTAGAGATTAGATTACCACTGAAAAAAATTCGAGGCAGAATGAATCAGAGGACATCATCAAAATAAAAGGCCCTTGGCCCCGCAGATATGCATAGATTCCATGAATAACTACTGTGTATGTTTGTTTTTTTGTTTGTATGGTATTAAAATTTCATAGGGGGCGAGGGAGTTGGTGTCATTAGAAAAGTATTTAACAGAACTCCTTAGGGTAGATGAGAAAAACAATAGATTGAAAACTAAAGTTTATGTGATGTTTAAAAATAATGTTTAAAGTATCTATTATGATTTAGGTTTTAATTTTTT